AGATAGCAGAAACAATAGGCTAAATTATGAGCGAAAGGCTTATAGGTTTATCAACAATCTCTGATCAGAGTCGATGAACAGGTGTCAAATAAACGCCTCTGAACAAACCTTTCTCGTGACCTGATCTGGTTTTAGTTTTCACCTGGAGACAAAGAAGAAAACAATCGGGAAGCGAGGAATGGGACACAGGACCAATCAAAAGATAAGATTCAAGGAAGAAATACTATAAAAACCTCAAATTTCAAGGTTAAAATGCAGTTTTCCTAAAAATTCTACGATGATTAATCTGTGTCATCTTCATCTGGATTAAGCCTGAAGTTTTGGCCACTAAAATTTGTGTTGTGTCTCGCAGACCGCTCCAGTTGTTGCAGCTCTGTCACCTACCATCGCTTCTGTGACCAAGCGAACCAATCTCGTTCGCTCTGGGGCTATGACTGATCAGCTTGCACTATCGTAGGACCAGCGATATGTCACTCCTCAGTGCCGAGAGAAAATACTGTAGATAAGCCATTTGCAACTACCTCAAATATGTAAGCATCTTCCCGTTCTAATAAACGATTTTCACTGTAAAATATTTGTCATCTTTGTCTCCTCTGCCACCACCAACGTACGAATGGACCCAGACCATCACCGACACACGATTAACTGATTTTCCCTAAAAGTCGGCAAGCTTACAAATTTGACACAAAAAGCCGTTAAGTTTGTTATCCGAATTTTGTTCGTTATCTGAGACAAAATTTATCCAAAATAAAAGTTCGTTAACCGATTTGGTTGTTAACCAGGACGTTCATTAACCGGGGTTCCACTGTATTGTCTTTGAAACCGTGTTTGATAAATTTGTTGGACTTCGAACTAAAAGTCAACTAAAAGGAGATGGAAATAAAACCAAGTGTTTATTTAAAACTCAATTTTGAGTTCAAAGTCCAACAAAGTTCTTATATAGTTAATCAGGGCCTCCTGCCCCTAAGGTTTCTGTACCTGATTTCATCTTTCATCTATCTAACTCCATTCTTGAGATCAAGGAAAGACAGATGGACAATAGTGGGAATTTTTTAAGCAAAGATCAGAACTTTTATGAATGTGGAATCCTGCTACTACCAGAAAGATGGCAACAGGTATTAGACCAAAATGGTCAATATATAATTAAATATAGTATTTATGTATCATAAAAAAAGTTTTTTTCATGGAAAAAAAATGAAATTACTTTCCGAACAACTCAATATAAAGATTATCTTACGTAAGGATTTATCACTGAGTGACCAATCTAACACATTTTAAAAAATTTTCTTCTTCTAAATTACAAAGGCTGGTTTTTTTCAACCTCTGATGATCCATAAAAAAAAACTCCAAGTGTAAATAACAAAATGAATTTATTACCAAAAGTTAGGTACAAATGTGGTTACTTTTCGACATAATCACCATGAAGATTGAAGCATTTGTCATATCTGTGGACGAGATTTTCCATCCCCTCTTCATAGAATGTTGCTGCCAATGACTTGAGAATGTTTTGAAGAACATCATTAGTCACAAACCTCTGCCCTCCTAGCCATGTTTTCAGTTCAGGAAAGAGGTGGAAGTCTTCACACATTAAAAAGTTCCAAGCTGGGTGGAAGTCTTCACCACTTTTAAACACTCAGCGTCCCAATATAGCACCGAGCAACTTCCACCTCTTTCCTGAACAAAAAACGTGTTTAGAATAGCAGAGGTTTGAGACTAATGACGACCTTCAAAACAACGTTAGGTTCCATCATTGGTGGCAACATTCTAAGAAGAGGGGATGGAAAAGCTCTTCTACAGATATGACAAATGCTTCAATATTCATGGTGATTATGTCAAAAAGTTTGTACCTAACTTTTGATAATAAATTCATTTTGTTATTTACACTTGGATTTTTTTTATGGACCATTGGAGGTTGGAAAAAAAAAAACAGCTTACATACAACACACTCTACTGGGAAATACATAACAAAAAACACAGAACCAGTAACCAGTGGAAATAAAACAAAAAACTATTTCTGGACAAACATTTTCTAACTCCTCCTGAGTCCTTCTTCAGGTGCTACAATGGTTACCTGGTGGAACATCATTCAGAACATAAAAGCTTCTTTTAAAAAAGCTTTTATGTTCTGAATGATGTTCCACCAGGTAACCATTGGACAATATGCCACAGGATATATATAGATCATCATTTGAAATTTTATAGCTGACATTTTTACCTTAAAAGATTAAAGGTTAAATTATCAATTTAGCATGCAAAAATGTAGTTTTTAGATCTATTAACATAACTATTTTCAAATTTCTCTACCTATTAGGACCACAGATATAAACCAAGCATGACTTTTCTATGAACATTATACATACAATTCAGAACTTCTATATTTCTTAACGTATAAAAGAAGATACTTGCCATTAACAATCAAATAATTATAAAACTAATAAATGAATTTTAAAATGAGAAACTAAACATTCGATAATTTGACAAAATCATGACTGTTTATACACGCACAGAATTTCTCAATATAGTGTAAAATTTTAACATCGGTAGAAATTCCGAATCTCACATTAGTAAATCAACANTGTAAAATTTTAACATAATTGTAATAAATCATAATGAAATATAAGCATATAAAATAATTATATTAATTAATTTATAGAGATCTTTTTATAATACATAGTTTTAAAAATTTGATATTTTATATTATTAATACTTACTATCCGTTTCTTAGTTGCTTCACCTAATAATCCACCAAAAGTAATGATTGGAGTAAGACAAGCAAAATATAGAAAAAATACTGATGCTACTGATTGAAGAGCCAAGGCATCTTTAAAATCACTCAAATACCATGGTAATTTACGTTTCACATCATTAATAAGACCTCCAAACAATCTGAAAAGTTTATAATTAATATTGTTATTATAATAATAATAAACATTTAAAAATAAAATATTTTCTTTGAATAATATAGACCTTCCAGTTCTCTTTAATCCACTTTCTTCTCTTTCTTTTTCTTCTTCTTCTTCTGTATCTATTTTATGTTCAGGTTCATTCTTTTTCCTTCCATCCTTAATTTAAAAATAATATAACCATTAACAATAAATAAGAGACAAGAGTTGAATATAATAATCATCATATATATTTACATGCATGCTTATAAACAACGTACAATACATAACAGTAAAACCTCACTGAAGTGGCCACTTTTGGGGTGTACAATTTCTGGTCACATAAGTGAGGTAATCAATCACCTGTAAACAATATTAGGATGATACATGAACATCAACTCAAAAACCCAAATTTATAGTTAAAGCCAAACAAACTGTCAAATTGTTAAGCTATATAATTTATTATGTAAATGGACATATGTTAAGTTCTGCTACTTGGACCTCTAAGTGATCTTTGCTTTCAGAACTTAATGTTTAGATATTACCATACTGGTCACTCACAGTGCTGACTGGAAATGATTTAAGTGCACATGGCTTTCCTCCTCAGTGCTCAGTCAGTTATCACTTTCACTTGGCATAGTCTATAAATATTTATATTTATTATAATTATTAAATCTAGCACAAGATGACAGCATAACTAACTACTCTAGACAAATTATTTAGTGTTTAATTACATAGCATTATTATTAACAAAGTTTTGTATATTGCAATTTGTTTGGCTTTTCTACATTATTTCTATTCTTCTGAGTAGTGTAAGCCATATACTATCAGTATATTGATAGTTACCTAAGTGGGATTATATACAAAACTGTAGTTAGGAGTACTGTACTGAATCCCGCTAATTTTATTTTTAATTTCGATTTTTATTTTGATATAAATGCCAGAGTTTTAAATTTTTAATTTTAATTTTATTTTAAATTTATATTAAATAGTTTTAAGTTTAATTATTACTTTTGGTTTTAATTAATTGGCTACCTAGTTACATATAAATCAGGGCTGTGGAGTCGCGTAAAAATCTACCGACTCCAACTCCGACATTTCCTTATCATCCAACTCCAACTCCGGCTAAAACACCAAAACTCCACGACTCCGACTCAACAGCCCTGCCAGGGCTGTGGAAGTCGTGTAAAAATCTACCGACTTCAACTCCAACTCCAACTTTTCCTTACCATCCGACTCCGACTAAAACATCAAAACTCCACTACTCCGACTCCACAGCCCTGATATAAATAAAACGAATACCCAGTGCACTAATACTCCTCCAAAGATGAGCTAATGGAATTTCATTGTATTAATATTGGATAACAGAATATTGAAATAAAGTACATGTACAGTGAATGTACAGCAGTTTGCACTAGAATTCATTCAAACAGTCTATGTTTGCAGTCTACTAAACTGAATTGTTTAGTACCCATAGACAGAATCAATATGTTTATGAAATAATAGTAAAGATTTTATATAAATACTGTACGTTAACAGGAAAATTCAGAAAAAATTATTAAACAGATGTCACTAGATATGCATAACTATTCTCTGAATATCAGAAAAAACATTAATAATTAAACTGGCTTTTACATCAGGTTTGTCGATATTTTTCTTCATTGTGTTGAAAGTAATATATCAGTGAAACTAATTACTGTATATATATACAAGCTGATTCATTTAAGGTGTTACAGTCAATAACTTGAAAAATATGCTTCTGATAAAAATAATAAACCTTTATTGAGAACATTTTTTCAAAAGTTATAAAGTTATCTTGTCATACATTCTGAAAAATAAAAACTTTCCTTTTTATGAAGTCATTAATTAATTAAAACAGATTTCAAAGTTGTTAATTTTTTAAATCAATTTTCTTATTGAAGTTCAAAATTAGTATTCTACATGTTGAGTTTTCACTCAGAAATCAGAATAAAAAATTATTTTTGCATTATTTTAATTTGTTTCACATTAATAAAATATCATATGCATTTTGAATTTCATATTTTAATATTAAATTTACTACAAAAATAATGCTGATAGGCATGATGACATATATGGAGAATGATGGATTGGATGTGGAGGATCGATTTCTTGGCCAGCTATGTCACCAGACCTGATACTAATTGATTATTTCCTATGGGGTTTCATAAGTTTTGTTTCAACAACCAACCATGATTCAAGATATAATGCAAAGATTAAGCAATGAAAGTGCTAAAATAACACCAGAAATGTTACAGTCCATTCAGCAAAACTTTATTACTTGATTATTGAAGATGAAAATGGACTTATGTTTAAAAATTTGTTAAATAACTAAAAAAATAAAAAAATGGAAATTAACTAGCTCATTAATTAAAAATGTTGCACTTTTATTAGACTGTTATCTTTCAAATAGTTATATGCTCATAACTTTTGAAACTATCATTTTTTTGAAAAATACATTCTCAATAAAAGAATATTATTTTTTTTTAACAAAAAAATCTAAAAATATAAAAAAACTTGGGGTTCCATTTAAAATTTTGCAGATGTCCTGTCCCATCCAGAATGGGGAAAGAGGATTTATTTTTATAGCATTAAAAAAAAAAGCTCCTCAAAAAAAACTTTATTAGAAGCATATTTTCCAAGAATGAAAGTTGACAATTTGTAACACCTTATGCAAAAACACCCTGTATAATAATGTATGTATTTGTTTACAGAGAAAGGTTTGTATTTACAAATGACAGAATTTTATAACATTGTATAATACAGTAAAACCACATTAAGTTGAAGTTTAAGGGGTAAAAAAGCTCTGATTTCAAGTAAAAGAGTTTAATACCAGATTTTCTCAAATTTTTCTATGCTATAAACTTCTCATTATCGAGCTATTTCTGAAGAATCTCTTCTCCGAATAATTACAAAAAATATATACAGTTTATGATGCTTTTGAGTGTACTGTGTTCTAATCAGAATGGCAGAAGCATACAAGAATGTCAACACAGGACTGTAACAGCATGATGTGTTCAGCATGGGGCTATAGTGTTTGTTTACTTTGTATTCATAAGAAATGTGAGAAAATGAATATCACAGACTTATCAAAAAGTGGAGAGTATGAGGAAAAATAGGTTTGAGATAAAAGTACAACTTAATGAGACTGTATAATATGGAAAAACCTACATACTGAGCTCAGGACCTATAGACGGCTTTGAGTTAATGCAATTGCAAATTAACGCAGTTCAACCTTGCAAGGTTTACTGTATATTTTTTTGTATTATTCACCTAGCTACTTCTTCACTCCACTCAATTACTAAAAATTTCTGGAAGAACACTGGAAAATATAATTACATGCCATTATTTATTTACTGGAAATCAGTTGTCTATTTTTGGATTTAGGACAATGAATAATTGTCTGAAAACTTGGCAGATAAAATAAATCAAAACTGAACACAACAAAACTTTAGGATTACAAACAGCTTGATCTTTTATAATAATAACTTAAAAATTTTAAATTCTAATAATTTTTTTTAAGCAAATTACAGTATAATTAAAAGGAAGAATATAAAGGAAACAGATATTTAATTCTACAAGAAAAAAAAGATTACTAGAATATTCTGTTGTATGAAAAAGGAAAAAATAGTTTATTATTTCAGAAGAATATACTTATAAAAATCAATTTTCATTAGACAGATATTCTTACCTGAGAAGGCAACTGATTTGGAGGTTCAATACGAATACTTGGATCCCAAGCACCAGGTGGCAAAACTGTTACAGCATCTAAAAACTCATCCACTCCTGCCAATAAATCTTGTCTACTTTTTGCTTTATATGCTACATCATGAAAAACCTATAAAATATNCTGGTCCCAATCCTGTTGCCAGGCAGCAAGGACATCCCACCATAGAAAATGCTTGAGCCTTGAGGCAAGAAGAATGTGCCTTTGTCACTCCCGCATATGGCAGTCGGCAGCAGTGAGGGCAAGGTGGCAAGGTGATCTGCCTGCTGTTCCCTGGATTGTCTTAATGATCCTGATCCAGCTATTGCTGAAAAGGTTGCAACCAATAGTTTTATTCTACAAGGTTCATTTTTCAGATGAGTGAAAAAATCTTGTTTTGCCCAGAGAATGAAAAAAAGTCTCAAACAATACAATGTTAGCCAGAAGTGAAAATAACTTTGATAATTGATGGTGATTTTTTAATGGATATGTGATTGTATAAACTACAATGACACTTTAGTCCATTAATTAACAAATAAATCATATGAATAATTTTATATATGTGTATGTTTTCAGCATTTGCCAAAAATGTTTGCATTCTTAATAAATGTTCTTGCTGAAATTGCAAGGATGATGTTCAAATTATCAGGTTAATCATAGTTCCAACTTTATTCATCACTTTCATATAAATAATGTTAATTACATTACAATTACATTAAAATTTGAATTTTAAGATATTTTTATGAAAAAAATTTAAAAGAATAGATTATTAAATTTTGTTAAATAACAAGTTAAAAAAACAATACAAAGGGCATGAATAGATAATGTTTGGTAGCTCTGTTTCCATTCTCGTATGCATATTGTTGGCCTAATTCACAAATCTTTTATCTCCAAATTCCATGTATTTGAGATTATTGTAGCAGCATAATCAAAATGACATGACAAATCTTCTGTGTGGTCACAAGCCTTGTGTTTGATTTTAGAAAGGTAAAAACAAACCACCTGGTAACCTTTTGTTTAGGCACAATACTCATATATTCTCATTTTACTGGCACCATTATCAAAGGCTTTAGGGAAATATTATAAAATGAAACTGCAATGCCAAAATTTTCCTTTTACAATGTCATTACACAAGAAGCTGACTACTACTTATGGTACAAAGATCAAGGTGGAATGTCTTGCAATGAAGACTCATCTATTGTTGTAGACCACATTTCCAAGTATTTGACTTCCACTTCCAAAAAAAAAAAAAAAAAAAAAAAATAATAATCTTATGGAGCAATGGTTGTGCAAATCAAAACAAACTCCACTTTATCAACATCACTTTTGCTATTTGCTAGCATGAATAATGTGAGCATTGAATAGAAGTATCTTGTAAAAGGCCATACACAAATGGAGGTAAATTCTGTCCATGCTTGCATTGAGGAGAGATTGAAAAATCAGTCACTACATTGCCCAGCAGATTACATTCCTGTAATAGAAAATTCACTTCAAAAGCCAGATCCTTTCATGTTCATTAGTTTCAGCATGACTTTTTTTTTTAAGAACTACACTAGTCTAGACTATGTAACATCCAGTCATCCAGGCAAACAAACAGGTGGCACGAGTTGCTGACATGCTTGCTATAAAGTATGATATAAGTGGATTATTGTCAGTCAGTCAGTCAAAACAATCTTTATTCATTCCATTTCCCATTCCATTATTCATGATTTTGCTAGGCCCAATTATGCCTAGCAAAATCAGATTATATATTATATGTATAATTTAAACACTAATTTGCATAAGCTTTACAATGATCAGGTGCATAAAGTGAATTTAAAATAATACAATAATAAAATAATGAAAAATAATAAAATAAAATAAAAGAAAAATAATTGAAAAATAAAAATAAAATACAAAACTACTGATACAAAATACGTAAAAATAAATAATACTAAAATAAAAAATAATAAGAAATTACAGTTTATATCATGAACAATAAACTATATCACATAATATGACATTGTAGAACTATTGTAACACAAACATCACGGGAGACTAATAGAGTGGCTTATTAGGAGAACAAAATTAATCACATGAGATAACAAATGGAAAAGAAATAACATAACAGCAATTAACAAGAGAAAGTTGTTTATTATGAATACAAAATTAATTGCATGGAGAGACTGGAGTGGATGGTGGAAAACTGAGACAAGCCCAAAAGGATGGAACAAAGCTACAAAAGTCCATATTGGTTGTGACTTCAGTGTGTCTTTGTGCACCTAAAGTAAAGTTGAACGGATTTGATGAGGTGCTTGTATTTACAATGGTCTTCCATAAAAAAAGCTTGGCTCACATGGCCGAACAGTATTCACTGCAGCAGGATATTGTGCATTTGGTGTCAAATGTCTTCAAGCATGGGGCAGCTGTACACATAGTGGAGCACCCCATCCTATATATTTCAAATTGGACAGTCGCTGCTGCTGTACCCATGGAACCTTTGTAAGTAGATGTTGGAAGGACCATGCCTGGACAGGAACTGAAAGAGGGCAGATCCACTAACAGCAAATGTGATGGCTCACATCCTGGAAAAAACACCTTGTAATATGTCCCATTGGAGCCTGGTCCCAATCCTGTTGCCAGGCAGCAAGGACATCCCACCATAGAAAATGCTTGAGCCTTGAGGCAAGAAGAATGTGCCTTTGTCACTCCCGCATATGGCAGTCGGCAGCAGTGAGGGCAAGGTGGCAAGGTGATCTGCCTGCTGTTCCCTGGATTGTCTTAATGATCCTGATCCAGCTATTGCTGAAAAGGTTGCAACCAATAGTTTTATTCTACAAGGTTCATTTTTCAGATGAGTGAAAAAATCTTGTTTTGCCCAGAGAATGAAAAAAAGTCTCAAACAATACAATGTTAGCCAGAAGTGAAAATAACTTTGATAATTGATGGTGATTTTTTAATGGATATGTGATTGTATAAACTACAATGACACTTTAGTCCATTAATTAACAAATAAATCATATGAATAATTTTATATATGTGTATGTTTTCAGCATTTGCCAAAAATGTTTGCATTCTTAATAAATGTTCTTGCTGAAATTGCAAGGATGATGTTCAAATTATCAGGTTAATCATAGTTCCAACTTTATTCATCACTTTCATATAAATAATGTTAATTACATTACAATTACATTAAAATATATAAGTAATAGTAATTTCTATAAATCATTTTGTTCAAGTTAAAAGTTTAAAGTTTATTTTTAACTCAAAATAATATATATGTTTTAAATAAATATTAATGTATATGTATATGACTTACTTCATCAGACATTAATGTTGCTATTGCCCTTCCTATTTCATGATAACGTGTAAGATTCCCCTGAGGTCCTAATAACATGAATAAGAAACGTGTAGGAACTGGAACTTCTGTTAAATCTCCAAGGTGACAAGCCTGACTGAGACGTACAAAGGCTATTATTGCACGATCTAAAAAATTTACTTCCCCAACTAATATATTAGAAGCCTCTGAACCGGGTGGAATTTTCCTCATAAAACCTTGATTTAGCTATAAAGATGATTGAAATAAAATCAGAAAATTATAAAATTCTACCAATTCTATCAAAAATTATAGTATACCAACAAATAATTGTTTATTTAAACAATTATTTATATTACTATTTAAATATATTCATACCCTGTGTTGTAGATCTGCAGAACTTGTATTACCAGCAGAAGAATCTGCAAGAGTTGAACCTGCTTGTGCTAATTGGGGATGTGGAACGTGCATCTGAAGAGAATTAGAACTTGGACTTTTTGGTATTACATCATGGTTGTTATTAGCAGGTGAACCTAGTATAGATTTTTTTTATAAATATAAAAGCCATATATAGAAATTTGTATATATTACAAATTCTGACATAAATTTAATACATTCAATTAGGAATTTCGGAATAAGAAAGGAAAACAATTTATTGATGTACTTTCAAGAATAATACAATAAAAATGCATAACATGAAAAATCTCAACACCATCCAAGCAATTCCATCAACCAAATTTATTAAGAACACAAACGTTTTCAGCCTATTTTGTAAGCCTGAATCAGGTTTACATATAAATTAGGTTGCTGGAATTCCACGGATGGTGTTGAAATTTTTTATGGTATTCATAGTTTCAGCTTTGTTCGTCTATGATAAAAATGAAAATAAACTGCTAATGAAAGCAAGTGAATTGAATAAATTTCTTGAAAAAGAAATGTTTTTGGCATATATTTAGCCATCTTCAGCTTTGATTCAAATAAAGAACAAAATTCTTTTTTCAATAAACTTTTCCATTCCATTGCTTTAATTAGCAGCTTACTTGCATTTTTATATAGTGATAAAGATTTATTTATTTTTGTACTCAATAATTTTGGTCCTTTTAAAACTTTAATATTTACTAAAGCTAAATTGAATGGTGTTCTACTGCGAAGATAAAATGATTTAAAAAATAAAAATCATATTTTACTCGCAACAAAGAAAGTGTAAAGTTATTTTTTAAAAATTGATTTAGAGAAGTAACATTTCTTAATTTGAAATACAATATAATCATCAACTATTCAAAGTCCTAAGCAGAGCGATTTAAAAAGTGAAAACTTAATCAAATTAATGGGAATACTCTTCAGAACATGTGGAATCAACTTCTATGGGGAAAATAATTCTAAAAATTATCCCCAAAGGAATTGCTTTCGAGCAGAAAGAAAGTGTCAATCATATTATATGATCTTTACAATATCTGGTTCAATTGTAAAACAAATGAACCAGAAACCTAAATGCAGAGTGTGATCAATAAATTTTATTTTGTTGTTGATTTATATGGTTTTCAAACTTAACATTTATAATACTCTCATGTCCAAGTATTATTTTTGCAGAATTCTAAGCAATAAACTTTAAGGAAATAAAAAACATGTAAAAAATTAATGGTGTTTTTTTTATCTTCTATGTAATAAAGCTTCTTCAGTTAGATAAGGTACAGTTTAGAAAGTTTTATTTTTAATATTTTTAGTGTAAATAATGCAAATAAAAATTTCTTATAAGGTTTTTAAGGTATTCTGTCTTTACAGTTTCTTTGCAGAACCCTTAAAGATTGCTTACCATTGATGTAAAAGAATTATTACACCAAAGTGCCAAAATTAATAGAGGTTAGAATAGAAATTGCATCAGCTTTGTCTATTCTGATATTTCTAGATAATTCTACATCTAATAAAAACCACACATTCTACAGTAAAATGCAATTTATCTAATGATTTTTTGCACAATCAGTATTATTTTAACTTTCAAGGCTACTACTAAGAAACATATTCCTGAAAATCACACTTTAGAGATGTTCCCATAATCAAAAGTCACAGGATTATCAAATAAGTAATCTTTAAGTTAGAAAAGAGCAACTAATCACTATCTTTAATAAAATATTGCTGCAGTTTTTGTTGTATAGGACATTCAATATGAAAAGGTTCTCCTTCTTGCATAAAAAATGATCAAATCAATATATCTTCACTGTGCAATAACAGGACAATAAATCAGTTCAGAAGCTCTCAATATCTCTAAGCAACAACAGATTTTGGCAATTTTCTTTGAAACAGAACAGATTTTTGCCAAGCACAAAGAAATTGGTTGATCACAGAGATTTTACTTATATTAATTATGGAAATTATGTGTATTTACAGTTCTGTTCAAGTGAAAACAAGTCTTATCTTTCTATCATTCACTTCCATTCGAGGGGGAGAAAATGTCAAAACTTTTCATCACAACTTGGATAAAGTCCATGTTGTAAAGATAAAAATACAACAAATTCACACAAAATTTTTGACAAGAAAATCATGTTCAGACAAAGAACTACTGTATTTTCACTATCTGCAAATATGTAAAATTTTATATCTTTCTTTATAGTCATCAGTGGCACATTAATATTTGTATCATATGTAAGTCTTACATTTTCTCTTCATTTGTAATGTTAAACCATCTGGTAATGATTTTTGAAACTATTACTCCATAGAAATTGTTCCAAGGTCTGAACTTTATCCCTATTAAGTTTGGTCCATTAGTTAGCCACTGCTTTAAGAAAGTCAGCCACCAGATATCTCTGTGGGTAACTTTGAATAGAGATACTTAATTATAATCACTCTCCTGTTGATGAATTGATAAATAAAGGTCCTGGGTAAAATTGGCCCAACTCAATACAAATGATACAAACAAATTTAGGCAGAGTATACTCATTAGAAACTTTATTTTAACATCAATTAAATGTACAGAAATATCAGAAGATATTGAAAATGGTGTCCTTGTGCATTTATGCACCTTTGTGTGCTTACAATCATGTTTGGACTGATCTTATGTAAAATACTGATGCAAATAACTTTAATTAGAGCTTCTGCATATGCTTTCCTTCAATTTGCATGTAGTTCTAGGAATAATCTAATATACTTTTCCTTTTAAGTATCCTCTATAAAATTTACATTACTAATGGTTCATCTCAGTCAAGGCCATTTTAAAATAGATAGATGCTCTGTGCTTTATGTTGTATAGAATTGAAAAAATACTAAATATTGTATGATTATAATTCCAACATTGCTTAAAAAGTTATGCATCTACAGAGAACTGTTCAATTATTGCAAAACTGAATACAGTTATGTCTCAGACAGATATATACAGGATTACAGTTGGCATTACCTGGTGTGCAATTGGACAAGAGTGCCTTAAAAGGCTATCTCAGTATCCTTTAAAAAGGCATACAGATTCACTATGTTCAGAAATTTCAGTCTATGTGTTATGTGCCTTCAAATGCCAGACATTGCCAGTAAGATGCAGTGAAAACATTATGTGCAGCCGATAGAGTTTAAGAAAAGTTGTATCATCAAGCAGAGGAGAGCAGAATGGCTGTTTTTCTGAATTGGCCACCATCTAGACTGTTTTAACCTGACTAAGATGTTGAAACATTGAATATGTCAAGACACACATATGTGGCTAGATGGTTCTAGACACTCCAGATAGACCACTAGCAGAGTTAATCATTTGCTTGTGAGATAAGCATGAACAACTGTAACAGCATCTTCATCCATTATCCAAAAATAAGTGAAAGTATCACTATAAAACTGTCTCTTCTGATATCATTGCCAAACAATTAGCAGAGGCAAATTTGAATGCATTGCAACTGCAATACATTATGGGTACATTCGTAAAGTCGAACGAGTTAAACGAGAATGACGTCATCGTTATTCTTATTTCGTTAGACTTTTCGAACGATTCGTTTAGAACTAAATGGCTGTTTCTAAAATCGAAGATACAAATGTTGCTAATACAGCCTTATCCGAAATATTTTTCTTAGATTGCTTCGGGTGGACAGTTACTCCAATCATTTCATCTTTTAATTCACAATTTAAACACTCGAGTAGATTTAGAAACATCGATATCGTCGGGCGCCATTTTCTTAACGAAGTAAACCAACTCTTTCCTTCGTGAACTTCGTTAGAGTTTCGTTCGAAACGTCATCACCGCAGAGCATGCGCACTGAGCGAGACTACTACTTTTCGAACGATTCGTTACTAACGCGTTTAACTCGTTCGACTTAACGAACGTACCCTATGCCATTAGTACTCCAACATTGTCAGCTTCATTTACAGTAACACAGAAGCATAAACTGCTACAAACTAACAGCACATCTGTCTTTAGCAATGAATTCTGGTTCTGTTTGGAAATGGACAACCACTATGTCAGAGTGTGGAGGACTACTGGGGAGTGCTTCGATCCCACTTTACTGTTCCATCATGTAACATACAACTAGGTTTTTTAGGAATATCTCCATATCGCCATACTTCACTGACATGCCTGATCTCTAGATTTGTTGCACATTGAGCATTTGTGGGACCAGATGGGACATTTGTTTCAGCCACTTTTAGTGTGAGGATCTGGAGCAGCCATTACATCTGGGAAAATTTGAAACAGGATAGAATACAGTAGTGTATGCCTCCATTCCCAACATATTGCTACAAGTGTCAGGCAAGAGGTGGTCCTATAAGGTATTAAAAGTTCCTTTAAATTGTACTAGTGTTCCACAGGAAATAGTTTTTTTGCTATGATATTGTAATCACTTATCATCATTACATTCAGATTAAATTAATAGTTTCACTTGATTCCAACACCTGCTTCTTGGTGCATAACTTTTTTGTCAACAAATCTATACTAGTGTAAAATAGGCATAAAATAAAACCTTTGATTGCTTAATGCCAAAAATACATCATTTTTGTATAAAGTTTAATTTTATTCTCAACAAATTTATTTTTACAGTAGTTATTATTCCAATATACATATAGAATAATACAATCAGATGGATTATGTGAAAGGTTTTATTTTTGTTCTATCTATTTTCTGTAGGTTAACAGGCCATATACCATGAGTTATAGCCATAAAACTATGGTATTTAAATAATACACTATTAAAAAATTGAAAATGTTCACTTATTAATAATATGCATTTTCTCTTTCTACTGATTTTTTTGACATCTTGACTCTGATACAGCAAATTTAACATGTATATATAATTCTCACTATGGGAGTAGTTCCAGAAATACCCGACTTTCAAGTTTGGAAAGAGAAAATAGTGAACAGGGTGCACGAAGAAGTAATTTGAACCTTAACTCATTGATTTTGGCTACCATGATAACAGATGTGTGAACTGGTGCATTCTCTTGATGAAACACAATTTCCTTTTCGCCAAATGTGGCCATTTTTTCTTGATTTCATCACTCAAGCGCTGCAATAAGTTCACACAATACTTGCCGTTGATTGTTTTTCCTTTTTGAAAATAATGAAAATTATC